ACAAAACAAGAGTCTGCCACAGAGGATTTTCCCTTGGCCAGAACAGTTGATGGTTATTTTTTTCATAGCTATTGAAGTTGAAAATGGATGACCAACAGTGGCTAGTAACTTACTGTGTGGGTGAAGTAGGTCTGTGTTTAACTGTACCAAAACTCAGGTTACTGCTCTGTATATGTACGATGTGAAAAAAACACATGGTGCCCTCCCCTAATTCTCTTGACTTTTTTCCCCCAACACTGGGAAGGCCCCCCCGAGCAGTCCTCACTCAACTGAAAGATACTTTTAGGGTAGCAAAATGGTTCCTATTTCTGCTTTGCTGTCCAAAAGTGAGATGGTTATATTAATTACACAATAGTAATGTTCCCTACTTGTCATTGAGGCTTTGAAATGAAGACCAAGGATTCTGAATGGAGAGCATCTATGATAAGCTCAGGTCCCATTTATTGCCAAAAACTCAGGAGGAACCAGAGATGGAGAAAAAGGAGATGGGAGCTTAACTTGGATCATATCCAACTTTGCCTGTCCTATCCGATGCATCTGTGAAAATCTGTGATATGTAACCCGAAGATTATTCTGTTGTGGAAGGGAAGACTCAGTGTCACAAAACAAAGTCCTAGTGACTTTGTCCTGGTGCAGGTTCATCTCAAATACAGTGTATAACTGTGTTCAGACTTCTTCAAAGTCGATGGATTAATATGTGAACTGATAAACAAACGGGCAACTGGAATGATGAGAGAAATAAAAATAACTGGTAAAGGGGATTTTATGATTCTTCAACTTGCTTATTCTCCCAAAGCAGAAGATGAAAGAGGAGAGCGCATAATTTTCATGCAGCTTCATTATTCAGTGTTTTGTGCTTTGGCTGTATAGAGAAATAAATTACATTTTTTCATCATCTTTTATTACCAGAGAAAGGAATGCCATTAATGTATCTCAAGGATTCAATTTGGTTTTCTTTATAAGCTTATGAAATGGGTGCTTCTTTTTAGAGTTTTAATAAGATAAAGCAAACTAGGTCAAATATTATTGGTTTTGGATATATTCTCTTTGGCATTTTTTTTATGGCCATGTTAGTTCTTTCTGTAATGTTATTGTGGGAGATACTCCATTTGGTGGTGTTTATATCTGTACCATCAGGGTGCTTGAAGTGAATTGTGTGGTTAGTCTGTAACCCTCATGACTGCTGCCAGAGAAATGGAGAACACACTCCAATAGGCTCTCATAGTGCTGCAATTTACTATAAAGATGACTTTCAGTCCTCCAACTTATGTGGGTAAATTCTTTTTATCTGCACTTATCCATGTTAATATTCTTTGTGACTTTACTCATTAATTAGACCATCTGTAATTTATGTTTTTGTGAACTCTGGAAGTTGTTTTCTGTTGGAAAATAAAGGTACTGCTGGAAGGATTAATAGATTTAATCCATGTTAATGGATCCAGTACCTTTCTATATGTTTTGCCACAGCTTATCCTGGTTCATAATCTATTTACTGTAACAGTGTACAAGAGTAATTTTATTTTGCATTCAATTCTTCAAATTATTGTACTCATTTTCATTGTAGGAAGAAAACAACATCGGTTTCAGACCAGAATGGCAAAGGTTTAAAGAGTGAGCGTAAGCGTGTGCCAAAATCCTCACTTCAGAAAGAAGGACCAGCAGATGACAGGGAGCGTAAAGAAAGGCATGAAGGTAGAAGGCTGGAGAAAGGCAAGTCACAGGACTACCCAGATTTGCCAGAGAAACTTGAGGAAGGCAAAGTGCCTGATGATGAAAAACAAAGGAAGGAAGATGAATATCATACCCGTTACAGGAGTGACCCCAATCTGGCAAGATATCCTGTAAAACCGCATCCTGAGGAACAGCAGATGCGCATGCATGCAAAAGTTTCTAAAGCGCGGCATGAGAGAAGACACAGTGATGTAGCTTTGCCACACACAGAAATGGAGGAAGCGGAGGTACCTGAGAATAAATTAGGAAAACGCTCACAATTACAGGGAACTCAGGACAGAAAATCTCTTGTGGAAACTCAGAGGTCGTACTCTATAGACAGAACAGGTGATGTAAGAATTTCTGTTTCTAAACAATTAACTAATCATAGCCCACCAACTCCCAGGCATAGTCCAGTTCCTATAGAACACGTAGAATACAAGAACCACGATTCCTTTAAAAAACAGAGCCGCCTTGATCCTAGCTCTGCTATTCTCATGCGAAAAGCAAAGCGGGAGAAAATGGAGACCATGCTAAGGAATGATTCCCTTAGCTCTGACCAGTCGGAATCAGTGCGGCCATCCCCTCCAAAGCCTCATAGAGCAAAAAGAGGCGGAAAGAAAAGGCAGATGTCAGTTAGTAGCTCAGAGGAAGAAGGGGCATCAACACCAGAATATACTAGCTGTGAAGATGTGGAGATAGAAAGTGAAAGTGTCAGTGAAAAAGGTAAGGACCTTTATGTATATTATGCACATGGCCATGGTTTGGGGAAAAAAAATAATTGTATTTTTCTCTCTTTTGCCTCTTTTAAACATACAACTTTGTTTTTCCCCTTACCTTTCTTTCTTTCTTTTTTCCCAACTGAGAAGTGTCTTATACCTGTTTACATTTGGTTTGCAATGTTTCCTTTTGCATTCTTAGATGAGGTGGTTACAGGTAGCATCAACTGATGAGTTTCTTTCTCATTTTCTGCTATCTTTCACCTAGAACTGACAGAATTTAAGGGTTCTAGTTTATTCTGTCAATGATATCTGTACTCCTTTGGTCATTGCTTCATCCTTTTGTCTGTATGCAGAAGAATTTTCTGTGCATGAGTTGAAATGGAAAGTGAGTTCTGTAACAATCTGAGAAGACCATTATAAAGCATTGTAAACTTACTGACACCTCAGTCTTACGAGATGCAAAATTTTACTACATTAATAAATCAAGGATCTGCCAGAGTTCATTGTTAACAAGGACAGGATATGGGGCAAGGGGAGTGTTATATAGGAAAGAAATGAGAATTCCCTAACTTGTTGTGTAGATGAATTTGCTTCCGATCTTCCAAGCACGTTTAAAGTCTGTTATTTCAGTTTGTCTTTATCTGTTGATGGTAACACTCAGCAGTAAGGAGTAAGTGTAGTACACTGTGTGCTTTTAAACAAAGCCTTTCTTCTGGCTGAAGAAGTTAAACAAATTCATGAATGGTGAACCGATAAAATAAGCATCATCAGAAAAGACTGTGGTGGAACCTACCAACTGTCTTATAACCCTAATTTGTCTTTAAGTGATACTACAGTGAGCTGAAGGCTTTTTGTGTCTTTGGAAGTAGCTTGTAGCTCTTTAGTTTAATTAGCTGTGTTTGTAACTTGAAAGGTTTTTGTTGGTGTTCGCACTCAAAATACCAACGGCTTGTCTGCATTGCCTTTTACTTCCTGGCACTGTTTCCTGACATGTCTTTGATTCATATATGCTAACCTGTCTGTCTGTATCTGATGTTGTGGTCTCCTGACATCCTCTAAAGCTCCAGGTATACAGATAAAAAGAGCCAATGTTTCTTTCCTATCCTATCTGAATAGCTGCTTGTTTTAACTTTCTAAGCGTGAACTTTTTCATTCAAAATATCGAAGCTTGCTTTTCTGTTCATTTTTGAGGAGGGATGATCATGCCCTGAAATCTTAATCCATATTCCACTTAGATGTAAAAATCCCTCACTTTTTTGACTGTGGAGGTTGTCAAACACTGGAACATATCACATAGAGATGTTGTACAGTCTCCATCCTTGGAGATACTCAAAACCCAAATGGAGAAAGCCCCAAGCGATCTGCTGTGACTGACCCAGCTTTTGAGGAAGGGGGTCTGAACTAGGGACCTACAGAGATCCCTGCCAGTCTCAACTACTCTGTGTTTGTAAGAGAGCACATCTTTCCCTTGTTTTGTGGCAATATTTTATGCTGATATTTGCATTTGTCTAATTTTCCCTGACTTCCTCTGGTGGTAGTAGCAGTCTGTAGTATAGCATTTCCTTTCCATTTTTGTGTTTTTGCTTTAATTCATGCACATCAACTGGTTGTGTATGAAGTAGAAAGGCTCTGCCATATTCTGTGAGGGGTATCATTATAAACTGGAAGGTCATTGATGTGAAAGTCAAGCCCAGGCTGAAAGTCATTCATACTGGTATCAATACGTTGGTATAGTTTGCTCTATAATAGTCCTTTGTAAGTAAAACCTTTCAATGGTTGCTTTCAGGCTCATGACACTGATCTCAGCTGTTGACCAATTTCCTGTTGTATTGTTGAGCTGTGAAGGATTGGACTTTTTTCCTTCAGTGTCATGGATCCCAGAGGATTTCAAATGCTACTAAATGCGTATGTTCTCAATAACTGAATCAAGTTCTTGGTTACCTCTAAGACAGATATTTAGGCTCCTCCTTTAGACAGTGGAGGCCTTGGTCTGTATCATATCAGGGTGCTATCTCACTGTATTTGAATAAAAATTATAAATAGGAGTATGTTAGGGACCTGTCTGACCACTGCCAACTCAATACTTGGTTAACATTGTTGAGCATTCCTTGAGACCTTATCTCTACTTGTCAGTAAACTAGCACCATGTTACTAATCAGAAGATATATATATATGTGTGTGTGGGTATGCAATACCTTAATTATAGAAATACATTTCTTCATTTAATAGCTGTGAAATGTACCTGTTAATGGTTTTTTTTTTGCCTGATCTTGATATGACTTTTGCAATCCTTGTCATGGGAAAAGAAGTGGAAAGCCTCAGAATCTGGGGGTATAGTACAGTAAAAGAGTTTGGAAATGTGAATACAAATGAGAAAGCAGAAGCATTTTTGGTAGTAAAGTATCCAGTTATTTTTAGAATGACATTTTCATCAGTGCTTGAAAAAAATCTGCAGTATTTCATAAGAATAGATGGAAAGGCAGGAAATTTTATTACCTAAGAAAATATTTTGGAAATCCTTCAATATTTTAAAAGAAAAAAATGCCACAGTAAAAGGGTGTAGTGTTAAAAACTTGATACAAATAATTTAAAAATGCCTCTATTGTAACCGAGATCAGAATCCCATTCTTTGCAATTTAGCAGCATTGTTACAAACAGAATTTAATGCACCATTCCTTCAGTGCTTTGCTTGTAATTTGGGAGAGATACTGCACAGGTCCCTAGTTGTAGTGCTTTAGTTTACAAGCCCGGGAGGGTCTGGAATCCATCTTCTCTTATCTATGTATCAGCTCAGTCAGAAATCTGGTGGCAAAGTAATATAAATGGACCTAGAAAGATAGAATTATTGCAAATAAAATTTTTAACTTTGAACAGCCTTACCAAGAAAAACCAAGATCTTCAAATTAATGCTCACATTTGTTGAACATTTGGCAGCATATGTTGTTGCCAATATAAAGCAATCAACAACTGAGTAATAAAGATGTACTATTTTCAATTCTATATTGAATGACTAAAATAGAAGTTTTCTGTGGAAAACAGCTTACAGAGATGTTTGAAAGAAAATGATGCCCCATAGAAATGTAAGGTAGGTAGATTGGATAAGACTGTATTGAAAATCAATAGCCAAAAATGACATATAAAGTAAATACTGTGTAAAAGTTACTTTTTAAGATTTGCATTTCCTAGAAACACTGTATAGGATTGCATTACCCTGTCTTCTGAGCACAAAAAAAAAAACCCTTCTAAAAGTGATATTCTTAAATACAAAGCAAGCTAATTTAGCTAGTATATCCCCTGCTATTTACTGTAACCATTTAATATGTATTTCTTCAAAATTATTAACAAAATAATTCTCAAGTACTGGAGATACTTTCTTTCCAAAAACTAAATATCTTTTGCAATCCACTGGGATTTTCCCTCTGGTGGAGGACCCAAAGATTTATCTCGAGTTGTTTCCATGTTGGAGTAAATCTAGAGAAAGAACTGTTTAGCGGTGTCCAAAAAGGTCATCTCGAATTTCTTTTTAAAAAAACAGTCCACACCCTTTACAGGACACTACTACTGATTGCTGATAATTGTTTTCATCCTAATATTAATAGAGGCTGCAGGACTCCTTATTCTGAAATGCGTAATAGTGAACATTAGGTGGACTGAGTTTCCAGTGACAACATTGACCTGGCAAGGCAAAAGGACTCCTCTTAGAAGGCATAAATTGTATTCATACTTGCTTCAAAGACTTGATAGAAAAACATAAACCAGACTATTACAAATGAAATCCAGACCTCCTTTTACAACTGAGAACAGCTTCTGCCTACTGCCATCCAATGAAGAATGCAAATTAGATTTGGAGTAAGTTTGAGAAAAAATATTTTCTTTGAAGTTTAAAACCAGGAATTTGTATAGAAGTCGTAGATTTGTGTCTAGACGAGGTTGCACGTCACTTCTTTTATTCTGTGATAGATACAAGGGATGTTCTAGACTTCTGTCATGCAGTCTTTGAAACTGGAAGATAAAATAGTTTTGGAAACTGGAACAATGTGAGGAGGTACTGAAAGCTGCTCATGTAATTTTATGTGAATAGATACGCTAGTGGCTTTACATTTTGCATACTCATTGTTGATATTTGCCTAAATATGTATTTTGTTCACAATGTTTAGACTTGAAAAATATGCCTAATACTTGCGTATTGTCAGCAAAGTGGTAAAAAGCTAAGTAAAACTCACTTTGTATGCTTGCTAATGGATTTAATTGAGAGTAAGGAGAACGTGATAGAGTTGGAGCCTTGTTGGAAAAAAACCCCAAAACTTCCTGAGATGACATTCTGATTTCTTTCAGTGAAGATGTGATTGTTTCATTCATAATGCCTTGCTTACGGTACTGGGAGGAACAGAGCGACCCAATTTCATTTCACTCTTATGACATTACCCTTCTGGTTAGAAAGCATTAGGGGATCTTGCTGGGATCATGGTGTATGCACAGGTATGAGGTAGGGGGGTTGTGACGAGGAGGAGAGGACCTGAAGGTCAGAAAGAGAAAGGGACGCTGTGGTTTGCAGATGAATGTGTATTGGTGCTGGCTCAACTCCAAGAGAAGAGGACCTGACCCCTTCCTCTGTCCTCTGGTGTTGCAGGTGCTGCTTTGGGCTCTCGTGCACGGGCATTGCCCTGGGAGAAGCAGAGCATAAATTACATCCCTACCCCAGGGATTTCTTCCAAGTGCTGTAGCGTCGTTGGCAAGGAAGGTAGCTTGTGGGCTAAGAGAGAAACCACACATGTGCAGTAGGGTGTATAAATGGACTGAAAGAAAACATCAGGAAAAGGCCATAGAGAAGAGGAGGCTGGTTTTAAATGTTTTTTAGCTAAGCTTCTTCGCTGAGGTATTTTAAATCTGGAGTGTAGGCAAGTCAAGTTGTACTGTAACATCTGCTAGCGTATTTTAACATCTGTTCGTGTGGAGAATTGGGCATGGAGTTTTAAAAGGAACTGAATTTTTTAAAAATGTGGC